TCATTCATCCCCATGTGGAAGAGTAATAGGGGATAGTAGTCTTGTTTTCTTGACAAGTTGGGGCACCCTCTCAGCAGTGTCATGAAACTTTGCCCCTGGAAGGCAGCATACCTCTTGTGATTCTCTGTCTGGTTGGCAGATGTGCACCTCAGTACCCTTTAACACAGAGTCACCCACTACAAGCACTCGCCATTTCTTTTTATGCTGCCCACTGTCTGGTGTTGTTACATTTTCACTTGGCAGGCCTCCCTCATGGGAGTCTATGGCTGTTAAGGCTTCATACCTGTTTATGGTTGGGACACTGGAGGATGAAGACTCTAGTGGATCTCTGCTTTTGCAGGTCACCAGGGTCCAAGTGCCTCATTCTCAGTGGTCCCTGCCTCAGGAACATGATAATGAAACCACCTGTCTGTCTCTGCCTTGTACCCTATAACACTGCGCGGCCTTTTAACTGTTTCTTGTAACTCAGCCACCTGACATAACGGGTTGCCAAGCTGTGAACAGTTTGCACAGGTACTTACCTTTTCACCAGGAGAAGGGCCTGGGCACTCACTACAACTTACTGCTTGTACTGAAGCCTCTTTCTTTACTAGCTCCATCTGGGTGGATCCGTCAGACATCTCTCAGGCTTTCTCTGGAGGAACACTGGCTTTAGCTCTGGGGCAAGTGCCCGCTGGTTTCTCAGAGACCTAGAGCACTTTCCTGGGCTGTGGGGCTACAAGTAGGTTGCAGGGCAGTCCCTGCATGTCCCTGCCTGCTCAAACTGCCATGCCCTTCTGCCATGCCATGCCCTTCTGCTGCACTACGCCCTGTTTGCCTGTCCCGGTCCCTGTGCTCTTCAGGGGCTGCTTAAATCTCCCGTGGTTGCCCTGGCAATGTCCCCGAGGTGTCAGCCCCACTCGGGAGATCTGGCCAGCTCCCAATGGGACTCTCTGTACTGCCCACAGATTTTCCTGGCTACAGGAACCCACCCTTTCCTCCTCAGCACATGCTCAGCCATGGAACTCGCTGTTCCTGCCACTGTGCTCCTCACTGACTGCTACTTTTAAAGTTTTGTTTGTATATTTCTAGAATTACTAGGGAGAAAGCAATGTATCTCCTCACAGCCTGCAGACTTTGGATAGGAAATAAAGCTTGAAAATGTCATCTGTCCTATGGTTGCTAGGAAGTTCATGGGTATCACTTTAAAGTAATAAACATCACAATAATCTTTCAAATTTTAACTTCAGTCATTTTAATTTATTTTCTAGTTGTAACACATGCTTTCATTTCCTTCCCCCTCACTTAGTCTTATTTCTCAGTATTTTAAATTGGTAAATGAGATCAGCTGGATAATGCTAGACCTGGTAACCTGGTGTATGAGTCCAGCAGAGTGGTTGGAAATGAAGGAGATTGATTAATGTGAGTTGTAGGACTTTATGAATTACCTATTTAATGATATTATAAACTTAGCTAATAACGATAGGTCTCTGTATTAGATGTTTATACTGTGTGACTTTTTGGATAAGTTGTGAAGAATATAACAACAGCAGAGAAGACATTAAATAGATCAAAAATCTAGGGAATGAATGGACTTCAAATTGACATTTCATTTAGGGACTGTCAGTAAACTCCAGTGTTTCTAATAATACAGATAGATTACCTTTTTAACTTGTGCTATTTAACATCTTTTCATCCTCATGGAAGTAAGAATAGACTGACTGTTGGGTCTGAGACATTCACTGGGAGACCAATAGCCAAAGGTCAGAGGCTCCTCGATTGCTTAAGAGGCAGAAATGGGGATGGGGAGAAGTCTATCTGCTTTTCTCTGTTTGTGTTACGGGTACACTTTTGTATGTTGTCAAATAAAGGATTCTGTCCTAGGATATAGTGTCTGAAAATAACTCTGATATTACAGAAGTTGAACATGAGTGCTTGGTGTTGTCCTTGTATATAACAGAATAGAGAGTAGGTTTGACAGCTGCTGAATTTGGACCAATAACTAGGAGAATCCAGAAATAAGGTAGGGCTTTTTAACAGCAAAGAGAGATAGGAACAATATTAAGCTCTGAAACATTTTGTTCTTGTGTCTTTAATTGTGAGCACGGCTGCAGTTTGTAGCAATGTCTGTTCCTTCTCCTGTCTCATCAGTAACATTTATTTTTTGTTTTTGTGCGATTCGTTGCAACATGTTTTCCTTTGAAACACTGAGATGGATTTTCAACTCTTACTGGATTTTATACGGTTTTCTAGTGCAGAATTTTAAAAAGCTGTTGTAGAAGCAGGCTGGCTAAGTCATCTGGCGTCAGTGAATTTATCAGTGGTACACAATCATTTTGAGCACTGTTGGTGTTGGAAAGAAACACTGTCTGTTAAGACAGTCCTCGTAAAGGTAGCTGAGAAACATTGGAAGGACAGAAGAATAAGGTGAATTTTTAAAAGTGAATAATGATGGAAGGAAAAGAAGATCAGATGAGTCCTCAGCTTCAATAGGTATGCCATAAACTGATGGCAGGAGGGGATATCTTCAGTGTAAAAAGGTACTAATGAATTTGTAGATCCTTTGGGCCTCTGTTAAATATAAAGAAATTAAAGTAGGTAGCAGTGCTGGCTTACAGTTCTGACCTTGAAATTATGGATGCTATTGTAGTGTGCAGTCTTGGATGTTACTGCAGTGGCAGGGATTTGATTTAAAGCAAACACCTGTAATTATTGTGTTGTACTTCAGAAAAAATATTCTGGACTTGTAAGAAAAGAAATCTGAATGGTGAGAAAGATGCACAGTCTGTAGTGGATATGGACTTCTGTTTGTAGCTGGATTTGAATAACAAGGGTTTTAGCTGTGCAGTACTTGGAAACAATTGGAATCATTAAATGTGTTACTTGGATTGTAGCCTTGTTATTAAGCTTGCAGAACCAATGCTGTTCTGAGAAAGAACCCTTTTCTGCCTGAAATGAAGTTCATCCAGGAAAGTTGAAAGTTTGGCCTTAAATGCATAGGTGTTGTTTTAGCATATTATTTGTTGGAATTGCTTTAATCTTTTCCTCCCTGCCCCCTTCCTCCTCCTCCCACCCACTCCCCCCCACTGCCCCCTGTTTTGGGCCCCTTCTGCTCTTTTGGGGTCTTCCTTCCACTGTCTATCTTACCCACTTCCCCTTCTTTTTGTACCTGCTCCCCCTTTTCAGTAATATTTTTGTATGCTCTGCTTATGAAAGATTATGCACAAATTAGTATACTTAGACCAAAAAAACCCCACCCAGTAAGGAGTTATGTTGATGTTTAAGTGACTTTCAGGTGCATCTCCCTTCTGCAGCCCGCATTGTAATGATCGGGCAGATGATAGAGGCTGCTGTGAACTGAGTGCAAGATGGAATGAATCCACTTCAGCTGTTGCACTGCTGTACTTAGCATTAAAAAGAAAATAGCAGTTAGCTACTTTTTCGTAATGATTATGTGCTGGAAGAGAGCCCAATCTCTTTGAAATATTAACTGAGATTTTTTTAAATAAGATTCTAGGAAATTTTATTTTTTTTCCTCTTGCTTCCATTTTATTCTATAGAGATGATTTGGAAATGCAAAATATCTCTGCAGCTGTAATGTAAAAACCTTACTTTTTCATTTTATCTATGTTGTTGTGGTTTTTCATTTACAGCAAAGCTACCTCTATTTTATTAATCTGAATTTGTCAGAAAATTAAAACTTCTTGTCAAAGCTTATACGCAAATCTGGGTGAATAAACTGTGTATTTATGGTATTGTAAATGCCTCACAAATCTCAGAGCTGTTGTCTCCTTAGTAACATGATGTCTTTGCTAATAAAAAAATGCCAAGGTGTAGTATTTAACAGCTTTTCAAAATACATTGACATAAATAGATGGGATTATATAATATAGTAGCATATTTATATAACTTCAAATAACCAGGACTTTTTTTTTTTCCATATAGAAATGTATTTGGTTTTAAAATTCTGTTTGAATACAGGCTCTTTGCACTGTGGATAACAGTTATATTTTATAGAATATATTTGCTATTTTAGCTTTAAATGTATTAGTACTTAAATTATTGGCACATCTTTCAGATTTTTTTAATTTGAGAAATAAAAGGTAAAAGCAGGTGTTCCCAATTTGTCTATAATCAAGTGTTGTCTTCAACACTTTGTAAACATTAATAATATCCCTCTTCTCTTTTTTTTTCTTTCTAAACTTCATTATCCCAGTTTTTGTCATTTTTCTTTCCAGATGGAAGTCTCTCCATCCACATATAGTTATTTTTGTGACCTGTTTCTGAATCCCTTCTCTTTCTTCTGTAACTTTTAAAATAGGGTTGCCAGAACCCAAAACAGATGAGAGCGCCTTTGATTAATGTACCAGCATCCTAATGTCATTGTTGTGGACTTTTTCCATCTTCAGCTGTAAGGATGCTAGCATCCTATTTGGGTTTTTGACTGCTCCTATCCATAAAGCGCTTGTTTTAGCAAAGGTTTTATCTGACTTCATTACAGTTAGAGTCCTGATATTTATATTTAAAAGAACTCATTCTTTTATTTCATATATCATGGATTATATGTCCATCAATATTTCATTATGCATGAGATCATGGCATTTATTCACAGTACCTGTCTGCCTTCCTTCCTGAAGTCCTTTTCACATTCACATCCATACAGTTCAGTTTCATTATGATTAGCTTGAGATATTGGTTGGTGTCTGAAAATTATTTCAGAAATTGTTATCACTTTTCATGCTTAAATAGGGTTTCTTCAGGGTTTTCTGGTATAAATTCCCTGTGTCCAACATTTTCAATTGGAAAAGTATGCAAAATCATATATGTTGTCTATATGTGTCATTTACTTTTAGAAATGAATAAACTCTGGGTAAGCTTTTACTTGGTGACATTTCAGCTAGGATCCAGGATGAGTAAGAATTCTTGTCTTGCCTGATGATTTTCTTTTGTAATAATGAAACCTTTTTTAAAACTTTTTTTTTAAACAATGCTTTTGTTTTCTCTTTTTTCTTTAACTGAAGCTGATTCAACAGGTACTCACTCTCTATACACAACATACAAGGACTATGAAATCATGTTCCATGTTTCTACTATGTTGCCATATACTCCAAACAACAAGCAACAGGTAAGGTGGACCATGCCTAATTGGAATTAGTTTCTCCTCCGTCTCAAAAGTAGCTGAACTACTGAATATTTATGACAACTTTCATTTGTTACTAGCAAAGAAAACACTTAAAGAATCAAAAGTAAAACTGGCCATCTCTGTCAGGAAGATGAGCGAAGCAGATCATTGTAGGTACCTCATAGGTAGATTTTTCTTCATAGGACTGTTTTCCATTGAATTATGCAGTATTTACTGAAACATTGATTTAAAATATTGTACAATAATGGCAGTAGCACATCTGTGTTACATAAATAAGAATTAATATCTTATGTCCAAAGGACTATAGTGTACTTGACATGATTTTCAACCTTCTGCAGCAAAGTACATTGCACTTTAAGGATTGCATTTAGCAAACTGTAATATATACAGAATCAGAGGTGACAAGTGGGTGGTCCAGCACACTACACAAGAAGACATGAGGCAAAAACCTTTTTTAGTTTTAATTTTTCTTCTAATTATACTGAAGAGCTATGTATGCTGACCCATTTTGTTACTCTGAAGTACCTGGTCTTGTTAAGTACTAAGCCATCTTGTTATGTAAGATGTGTATGCATTTTACTCTAGAAATTATGTTATATTTTGTATTTCTGCAAATAAAATAGAAATTTCCTTAAACAATAAAAGTTAACACAGCATTCTTTTTAGTTTGCTTTTGTACACTAAATGTTATACTACTTTGTACTTTACCTTTCTCTTTTGCTGTAGACTTGGATTTACTGAAAGAACTCTGTGGGAAAATTATTATAATGTGTATTAAGGACAATGACAACTATTTTGAACTTGAAATAGAACCTACTTCTGACTTCTAAAAATGTGTGAAGTGGGGAATGTTTTCCAGTTTACATGTATCATTGATTACTCTGATACTCGCATGTTTTTGTTGTTGTTTTTCCTTTTTGTTTAGCTTAAAGTTTTCCCTAACAAGATCTTCCTGTATGTTACATGTAGAAAGGAATTCGTTATGAAAATGAAAATTTATTAGATTAGAATGACTAACATTCTGGTACTTGTAATATAAATCTTCATCTGTGTTGTTTTCAGCTTGAAGTATCATTTAGAATAAAAAAATTGAACAATAGTAATTTTTAATAATGAGAAATAAATAACTGAATATTGTGAAAAGACTGTATTTTAACCTATAGATCTTTTTATTTTTTTAAAGCTTCTGAGAAAACGACATATTGGAAATGATATTGTTACGATAGTTTTCCAGGAGCCTGGAGCACAACCTTTCAGCCCAAAGAACATACGATCCCATTTCCAGCATGTCTTTGTCATTGTAAGAGTGCATGGGCCCTGCACGGACAGTGTTTGTTACAGGTAGCTATTGCTTGTTTCACTGAAAACATGGAATTTAAGTGCGAAGGAAGATGTAATTCCTATTTTAAATTCTCAGTGGGGAAACACAGTGAAAGATAGGAGTTGAAGAGATTTTGGGCCGTGTGAATTTAGAAGACTTCAAAAAGTAAACAGACACACGTGATTGTGTAAAGGAAACACACCCAGTGAGGAGATTAATGCTGTCAGTATGTATGTACACATACACGTGCACACACGCACACACATCCATATATATTTTAAAAATCAAGCATTTGGGAATTATTTTAAATTCTGTTCTCATTTCCTTTTTGTTTTCTTCATTAAGAGTATTCTATTCAGTTTTGATTCTTATGTATTCACTTTTTATTTGGATAATTTGGGCATCTGAGCTCGTGTGCTGGTTTTGAAATGAAGACAGTGAAAAAGTATGACTAACCTTTCAGAAAGAATTTAAGCTGTCTGAAATATCTTCATTTTTTATCTCATTGCAGTCCAACAAAGACATTCCAGAGCATTATGCAGCAAAAAAATCTTAGTATGACCTTAGTGTGACCAATATGATTAAGATAGTAGCATATAACAAAGAATTGCAAGATGAGATTCCTATTTGGAACAAATTTTTAACCAGATTGAAAGCATATAGAAACAATAAGTTTGAGTTAATACTTCTTTATACAATCAATGAAACTTTCTACCTTTGTTGCATCCTGAACTCTTAATGTATCTCTATTTTTAAATGTTGGCTGATCTCAATGAACTTTTTTAAAGCTTCTTTATTTAAAATACGAAGTCTCAGTTATGGATTTAAAGTAGTTACCTTGAAATGAGGTAGCCTCAGAATTAACTTTTCTTTACTGAAATACAAATATTCACCTAAGTGTTTCATTCAGTCAGGTGCTTATTTAGAGGAAGACCTAAGGCAGTTGACTGCAGTGTCTGATGTGGTGTATTCGTGTTTTTCAAGGTAGTATAGTAGGGTTTGAAGGCTTTTCCCTCCCCATAAGTTTTCAGTAAAGCTCCCTCACACAGCACTTCTGGAACTGAGGCAGCTTTTTGACAAATTCCACTGCTAGATAATTTAGGTGGATATAGCTTGTTCTTAAACTTTTAGACTTATGTTTCAGCTCTTATTCTGATTTCGAAGTAAAGAGAAAGTAAGAAATACACCCACAAGGGCTACAGATGTGTTTTTCATTTGAATTGTGTATTACAAAAAAAGAAAGATCTACTTTTGATTATTATTTTAAGTAATGTGACTGCATACTTTCAGTTTCTTCCTTTTAAAAAGCATGTGAAAGATTTATACTTGTTATACTGTATAAATTTAAATATCTCAGGGTTCTATTTCTGCCCTACAGACTTCTGAATTGCTTTCATTTCTCAGGTGTTCACAACTACAGGGGCTGGAACCTTGCTGGTTACTGTTAGTGAATAAAATTTGATAATTTCAGCTTTAGTGATGCTAGAGGCTTAAATTTTAAGGAGGGAGCAGGTAGGAAGAAAAATTGTGAGAGTGCCAAGATTCGTTTTGATGCAGGAGACCACCAGAACATTGTACGTTGGTGTACTGTCTTTAAGATTAAAATCCTTTATTTTTTTTTTTCCTCTCAGTGTAAACACTTGATTTAAATTTATATAATTCCATTGTGAAAAGTTTTTCTAGGAAACTTTTCAAAAGTTGACCTATTTTCACTGAATTATTTGGAACAGTTTCATAGATTCATAATTCTAGACAAAACAGGAAGTCATATAGCATTAAAAGTACTAGAATTCATATTAAAAACTACATAAAATGAGTAAAATCAAGCACTGCCTTGGCCAGTGATTCTCCCTCCCAACTAAGATAAAAAATATTTCAAAAGTCTGGCTTCTCTCTTGACATTGTTCACTTTTTTAAACTTCTTAGCATATGTTAAAGATTAAATTCTTATCCCTGTGATTCATAATATTGAAAACCTAATCAAACAAAATATCACTGCTAGTTTTTCACTGCATCCAGTAATTGTGTTTAACACTTAGGCTTCTGTCTCTTAATAACATACTTCAGGACCACTGAAGACGATCACGAGTCAGATGGTTGCATCATGAGCACCCATACTTTTAGATATATTGGCATGCACTTGAAGGAAATACAACAGTCAATGATATCTTTCAATATCAGTTGCCATAAAATATTAAAAAACTAAAACCAACAAAAAACAAAACAAAATCCCCACCCCACCATCCAAAACCAGAAGATACGGTTAAAGATTGGGTGACTTAATTTTTATTTTTGGTGATCCTGTGTGTTCTCCTCCCACACCCCCCAAAAAGCTTTACTAGTGTTTCTGCAATCTTAGTTATTGATTTTGCGGGGGAGGAGTTTCTCTGATTATGTTTAAGGTTTCAGGTAAGTTAGAACAAAGTGTGAAAATAGCAGCCAGCCTTCCAAATGGACTAGTGCACACATTTCTAGTGTATTCAAGTTGCATTCTATTTTTCTTTATAAAACTCCATTATCATGGTATTTTGGCCAAAATTAGTTAATGCTTTTTCAGAGCTAGTTATACATGCATGGTAAATCAGATTTCAACTGCTGGATCATTTCTTGTCACAAAACTGTTGCAGTGCAGTTGTCCATCTCTTCTATGGACAGACTGCCAAGTAAATGGCAATGGACTAGAATGGCAACTCTTAAGTGCTCCCAAACAACTCTCATCCACTCAGTATCAAACAAGAATTGACCAGGGAGAATAGTGAAGCTTGTTGACATTGCCTAAGGCAGTCTTATTGTCAGTCTGTCACTTAGTATGGAAATGAAAAGAAAGAGTTGAAAAAGAAAACTTTTCTTTCCAATATATATCTCCAAACTTCTAAGAATTCCTTATTTCTAGTATTTTTGGAGTCATCTTCTATCACTAGCATGCAATATCGGCTAGTGCAGTTTTTGATCAAAAAATTTAAAACATAATCAGTAGTGTGAGGTATATATGCATTCAGTCACCAGAAGATGATTCTCACAGCAAAACTGGCCTTGTGATTTTTTTGTCTTAGTGTTTTTAATGTATCCATTTTATCTATAATTCAAGTATTGATCAGACACTTTGCACTGCTTTCAGATGAGCCTTTCAGCTTTAGGAGCTAAATTATGAGCTAGCCTTTGTCATAGTATGTGTCAGAAATTCTCTGTTTATAGTAAAACCAAACAAAATTCAGAACTACCATACATGAGTGATTACTTTAGCAAAAAAGCATGATTTTGCACTTGAAGATCTCTTTGAGCTGTGGTACTGAGGATGACTCAAAAATGCCTAGATGCAAAAATAAGTGTCCTTCTGTTTATACACTAAGAGGGACATAATCTCCACACTGGCAAGATTAAAATGTAAATATAGACATATTGCTGAGAAAAGGAGAGAAAAATTGAGCGATTAAGGAAAAAAGGAAATGTCTTTTTGTATACAAAACCTGCTGAATTTGCATATAGTGAAACACTCTGCTTCTTCTTTATTCTTTTATTTCTCGTAGTGTTGCTGTGACAAGATCCAGAGATGTACCATCCTTTGGACCACCTATTCCAAAAGGCGTCACGTTTCCAAAATCAAATGTGTTCAGGGACTTCTTACTAGCCAAAGTCATTAATGCAGAGAATGCTGCTCATAAATCAGAAAAGTTTCGTGCGATGGCCACCAGGACCCGTCAAGAGTACTTGAAAGACTTGGCAGAGAAGAATGTCACCAACACACCTATTGACCCTTCTGGCAAGTTCCCCTTCATCTCACTTGCTTCAAAAAAGAAAGAGAAGTCCAAGCCTTATCCAGGAGCAGAGATCTATAGTTCTGGTGCTATTGTATGGAGTGTCCACGCAAAAGACTATAGCAAGGGTATGGAAATAGACTGTCTCCTAGGCATCTCTAATGAGTTTGTAGTCCTCATTGAACAGGACTCGAAAAGCGTGGTGTTCAATTGCTCCTGTCGAGATGTAATAGGGTGGACTTCAACGGACACAAATATCAAAATATTCTATGAGAGAGGTGAATGTGTTTCTTTGGAGAGCTTCATCAGCAACATTGATGATATCAAAGAGATCGTCAAAAGGCTGGAGGTTAGAATTTGTTCTCTTGTTTGGTTCCCCTTCTTTGCTTTCTCCTCTTGCCCCACCACCAAGTAAGGCATCAGTTTAAGTAATGCTCAGAATCCCTAAAACTGTTGTAATTGTTTATCATGAAATCTATAAGGACTTGCCTGCTTTTATTTTCAAAATCTAATGTAGCTTTCATTTTCAACAGATATCAGACAACCTCAGCTGTTTGTGTGTGTGTAAAAAAATGTCTCAATATATTAAAAAAAACATACAAGGCCTTCAGATGCATAAATTGCTCCCAAACCATAAATACAGAAGTGTCTCCTTCTTTCTTTTCCTTGTTTTCCTTTTCATTCTCTGTTTTATAGGCTTGTTGTATCTCTTTCAAATGAAATTGTAATATATTTGAGACTGTCTTATTATGTTGCCAGCAGTGTGCAGTCCCAATCCCTACTGCAACCTTCAGATATTCTCTGAATGCATGTGATAAACTAAAAATGCAGTGGTATCTGTCTGTGCACACTTTTTATCCAATTAAGTTACAAAAGAATGTGTTATGCTTCACAGCTGTAGTTGTATGGTGACCGGGAAAAAGGGAAAACCAGGCCCTATTAAATTGCTCTTGATGATATTCATGCTTATGGTACATAGAAGAGTTGGCACAGACCCCAGTTTAATGTGCTTAGTAGCTGCATGCTACCACATTCTGGTAAAATGGTGGAAAGTAATCTTGCAGTTTACTGAAACAGATGGAAAAGTAGAATGGTGAGTTGGTTACTCAAGTCTAAAAGATAAAGTAGCGGTTCTTGTGTAACTCCATGTGTTTTTCTGTTGTGTGCTGCCATGTATCTTCTAAAATTCCTTTGATTTCGGTATTCACATAAATTTCAAGGCAGAACTTGGGTAACCAGACTCTACTGAAAATACTAGGTGGAGTGACAAGACCTATTTCAGCTTATTATGTACCCAGGACCGTGATATATATTCCTTGACTGTGTCCCACAATTGTCTTGGGAGTTGGTTGATTGTACAAAAATGGAGCCCTTTAACCTCTGTTAGCACTGAAGGTCTCTCTGTGCATTAAATTCTGTCTTTGTTTCAATTCACAGCTTGTGACTAAGGGCTGTGAAACAGTGGAGATGACTCTGCGTAGGAATGGTCTGGGTCAGCTTGGTTTCCATGTAAACTATGAAGGCATTGTGGCAGATGTTGAACCCTACGGCTATGCATGGCAGGCAGGACTGCGACAAGGCAGCCGACTGGTGGAAATCTGTAAGGTGGCTGTAGCCACTCTGAGCCATGAGCAAATGATTGATCTTCTGAGAACATCAGTTACAGTGAAGGTTGTTATCGTCCCTCCATATGAGGACTGCACACCACGCAGGTATTGTATAATAGCTACATTTGGTCCAAAATGATATCTTGATTTGTAGGTTTGGAAGGGAAACACCACAGAATGTGTTAACCTCCAAAAACCATGCTATCATCATAGCATCCAGTATTGTAAAGTGAAAGAAGAGGGTAGGAAAACTGCCCATATTCAGACTCCAAGCACCACAAAATATTAATTGAATACCACTGTTTAGTAAAATGTGTGAAGAACCTGGTGTATCCTTTAAGTTCCATGGAATTTAACATGGAAATCAAACACTTTTTGTCGACAGTTGTGTGTTCATGATGCATCAAAATTAATTGTACCTTTCCCTCCCTGCTTTCCTGTTTGTTGTTAGTTTGCAATGTCTGTGGATATAGTTCATGAAAGTTATGAATAGACTCACATTCTTCTACTTTCACAAATAAGTAAGGCAGTTAATTAGGAGAGTTTATCAAAGGTATTGATCTGGCCAGAGAAATTGCTGCAAATTGTAATTTTTCTTCACTCAGTAGTAGATGTTGCTTGCATCTCTCTCACTTTCCAACCATGTTAAGCCTGAGGCTTGTGTCAACTGTATTACTACTTTTATAGCTTTAAGATGTTGCTTGGTCAGAAATAAGCAGTAATAGAAGTTTGTTTTCTAAATTGGACGTTAGTCCCTCCATTTTTCCTGAACTGTCACTAAAGCTTTTTATAATATTTACTGCTACCATCTGAACTCTCTGCAGTTGTCTTTAGCATTCAGCCACATCACTAAATATGATTCCCATATTCCTGACATCCTGTATTAATATCTTGCTATATGATTAAAATGGAGTGATCTTTAATAGACTAAATGTGCCTGCAGGCTAGCTCAAGGTTTATGCTAGATTTGCCACAAAGCAGCAAGTATGGTTATCCAGGTTCAGTGTGTTCCTTGCAGTGAAAGACTGAGAGCACCTTTTGCACTACTGTCTTCTAAATCAGGCAGTATCTTTGTTGGGGTAGATGCAAAATCTTTTTATACTTAAGGCTGGGGCTGAACTTAAAAGCATATTTGTTATATTGATATAAAATTACGTCTTTGAGCAAAGACCTTGTACTTGAATAAAAGAAGAATCTATGTTTGTTTTCACTGTGAGCCATATTAGCTCCTTTTGTAACTGGTAGCAAAACGGGAACAGAGAGAAAAGGAGTTTTATTTGTCCTTTAGTTGTTAGTGGAAAATTGAATACATGTCAGAGATTAAAATGAGCAGTGGCATAAGATCATGCACGAGGTATTTGGAAAGCTTTTGTATGGTATTTAGCAGTCTGAGCAAATGGGAAGTTCAGCTGCAATCATAGCAAAAGGACTGAGCAGAAAAATCTGTGTGGAAAGCATAGATCCTATTATTGCTGAACTAAATTAAGTACAGCTATAAGCAGGCTTAGCTTTAGTGTATCCAAACCCATAGCAGAAAGAGAAATTACTGGACTTTTTCAAATACTGTACTCAGCATCAGTGAGTTTTGTTGTCTCGTAGTGAGCAAATGTTCATGGTGGGTTGTTGCCTAGTTATAAAATTTAATGAAGCAACTCTTTATCCTGCTTGTTCTATCCAAATCATTAAGATTTAGGAACTGTCTTTAATTTGTAGCTATCCTACATATATTACTAGAGATTTGACTTAAATCTTTGCACAAAGCAATTTCTCTTTTGACAATCAGTTTTCCAGAATTTGAACCCTTTCAGTGTGTCTTCTAGAGGTCATTTAGTATTTATACTACTGTAACTTCTATGGACTGTAACTAAAATGAAGATCAGTTCTGCTTGGCATAGTACATTCATATCAGAAGCAGTCCCTATCCTGATAAATTGATTGGCATGAAGTTGGAGGAAGAGCAAGGGTGCAGTTAGGTAAGATGACTTGCCAACAGGCACATGCACAAGGTCAGTAGCAGATACAAAAATAGGTCCAAATACACTGATTCACGATCTTATGTCCTACACAGAGGCAGGGCTTGTTATGGCTATATCTCTACTAAAAGATGGACATTAAAACGTTGCCACTGAACTCATTTAGTGGACTGATGGCCAACCTTGAAGTTAAGGACACAGCAGCAAGAGGAAATTGTTTATTTTTGCTGCTTAAACTGTAACTATGAAAAAAAAAAAAAAAGAGAAACCCGAACTACAAAATTATATAATAATGAAGGAGAGAAAAACAGAGACATAAAACATTAAGAGAAAAGAAAAAACAAGGGTATCAACATTTTAGTTAGCTTGTGAGTAGACTTTGAAAGCAAATCTCCTGATCACCCCATCTACCATGCAGTGGTTCACATACTGAGTGGCTTAGGAGCACACAAACTGGCTTTCAGATGAAGCCTAACTACATGTGCTTCAGAAGCACACGTTGTGCCTTCCAATGGCTCATTTAATTTGCAGGTCAAGACTACAGGGTAGGTCAAAGTAAAACCATAAAATGTGTATATTGTGGACAGCAAGACCTTAGCACGGACTCTTTCACTTTGTCTATTCCTATTAGGCCACACAACTTGCTAATGTCAGCATAGACAGATAACAAGTTATCTGTTTTGGTTTGTATTTTAGCTGGGAAGAGGTGATTGATACTTCTCAGCATTAATGGTGTAATTACTTAGAGGAAAAGGTAGAAGTAGAAAATTTTGCACTGATTGTTTACTTTTCCTTTCCATTAGATAATAATGTATGTAGGTAAGCGAAGTTATCACAATTTAAAAAATCACTTAAATAGAAGTGTATACATTTGTCAAGAGAAATACCAAAATTATCCTCACCAAAACTGAAGGTCATATCTAATTTCCAAATCTCTCATTTTAAATGTATGCAGAAGTTTGCCATGCATCTTTTGTGGACTGCATTAGTTTATGTTCTGTTTTAATCCGGATTTTATGCTGTTCTGTTCCTGTACATCCTCAGGAAGCAAAGGGCAGCTTTTGGGCTTGGCATCTACAATTTTTAGCAAGAGTTTTGTATTCATAATATGTAAATTTGTCAACTGAGGTACTCCAAAGGCAAAGAAGTTTGAAAATGAAGTGTAATGAATTATTTTGTGGGAATCTTGTCATGAATGTCTGTGCATCAGAAAGATTTCTCTCAAAAAGAACAAACATTTCAGGTCTTATTTGTCTGGGTGCAGGTAAGTTCTAAACTCATGACTTTATTAAATTAGGAAGGGAAGATACCCTTCTAGCAGACTTTTTAAATTTTTTCTAACCTAGTAATCAAATGAAAAGTATCAAAATTCATTAAATGTATGTTTCTAAAAGGCAAAAACTTTTACTCTTTCATAGAATTGATTCAGTTTCTGTCTTCAGATTTCTGTCCTTGTGAACAGGATGTATTTATACTACTTTTTATAGCAGCACGTTAAATTTCTTCATTTCCAGGAGTTCTTCAGAAAACTACCGTATGCCAGTGATGGAATACAAAATGAGTGAAGGAATGTCGTATGAATTCAAATTTCCCTTCAGGAATAATAACAAATGGCAGCGAAATGCAAGCAAAGGACAGGGACCTCATGTGGCTCAGGTACCATCCCAAATACAAAGTCCAGTAACATCTAGGATCGGCTCTGGGAAAGGAGACGGGAAAATGCCACTGCCAGAACGAGCAGCCAACATCCCCCGAAGCATCTCTAGTGATGGGCGCCCACTGGAGAGCCGGAGGTATGTGTCTGCTTCGCAAATGGCTTTTCATTGCTGCTCAGAATCTTGTCTGGACAAAAGCACAACAGATTTATCTAAGTGTCTGAAGACTGCTTTTAATCTTGGTTTTAATTAATCGAAAGGCAGCTTGAATATGAGCAAAATATTAGCCAAAAGGAAATACCTTTCCTGGCATGATGAGCACAAAATAAAGTGCTATGGGATTGTTAGGCCATATTTCCTTGTGTTGGATGGTATTCTAAAAAAGCTGTATTGTTAGTTAAGTTTTAAATGAGATGCAGTCCAAGTTTTAAATCTAAATGTTCCTGAACTTCTGCATTTTGAAGAAGTAAATAAAAATTTTAGCTTGTTTATATGCTTGGTGGAATTGCCTAAACCTCCCTTGGCAGAAATAGCATATATCAGGGTGTTTAGCAAGAGAATTCTGACTAGCACAGAAAGCAAATGTGTCTGACTGGGGAGTTTTCAAACTTTTTAGGCTAGAGAAGACACTGTTTTAAGTTTGCATCTCCGGGGTGGTTTGGGGCTTTTCATTGTTTTAGGCGTTTTTTAAAACAAAAAAGTGATTAAGATAAATGTATCAGTCACATCCTACCACAGTATTTTCATTCTTTCACAAAAAGATGTATTTGATAGTATTCAAGTGAACTGTCAATGTTCTGATTACCTGTACAAATCTGTCACTGTCTCTGCATTTACAAAGATCTGTTGAGGGAAACAAGCTCGTAGCTTGTATTTCTTATTTTGGACAATTCCTTCGGGGGGGGGTGGGGGGGTGGAACCAGCTATGGACAGATTCTGATCAGATTCTGATCATGCTTTCCATTGATGAAAAATATAAAGGAGTGGAAATAAGACTCATATTGTAGAAAATTTGAAGAGAGTTCTCATGAATTAATTTAAAGCATTTTTCACATCCTGAAGAACTTAGGATAAAAAAAAAAGTTCAAAAATGGTATAACAAAGACCAAGGAACTTCCAAGGTGAAATTGAAACTTCTGTGTAGGACACCTTGTTAAGAAATTATAATAGTTGATAAAGACTTAATTTTCATACTTTTTCATTAGACACTTTTGTACTTCTGCACTCAGACTGATCAAAGAGTGGCCCCACCCCAGTTATAGCTTTACATAAGTTCACTAGATGTATACTTAAAGCTCCCACCATTGTGAGTTGCAAAAGAAAATTCGCAACACTGAAAGCACTAATAATTTCACGCGTGACCTGATAAGACTGTGTGTGAAAAAGGTTGCAGAAGCCAGTGAGACACTGGACTTATCTCTTTAATTATATATTTGGACCAACATAAAAATTGCATGGCTTCAGCCATGTCTACCTGTTATAGCTGAAGACAGGCAGATGCTGAATTTGAAGGAATAGGAGTTGAGGTGTTGGATTTTTTTGCTCTCTCCAGTGCTGTGGAATCTCACTTGGTAATTATGGAAGGCATAGTAATAACTGGGCAGAATTTAAGGCAGTGGCAGAAGAGTTGCTGTGTTCTTTTCAGAAGCTTCCATCTCTTCGTGGTTTTGTTTAGAGTCTTGAGTTGGCGGTTCCATGACTCGTGCTGAGGAGGGTGAGCCTTTGGCTGCACTGAGAGACAGGGTATTAACAACTGTTTTTCTTGTGCATAAAATCCTATGTGGACAATATTGCACACCTAAAGCATTCAAGATTTATCCAGTCACTGGTTGCTTCTAGAGGGTAATTATGATCTGACAAATGTTTGCAAAGTGAAAATTACATTTCCATATACTGAGTATTTGTTTTCAAAAAGGGAAATTTTGACTTTCCATTTTCTTCATTTTCAAGGTATATAGCTTGCATTTTTGCCCTGTAGACATTCTTTTTATTATTATTATTATTATTATTAT